GATGTCCTCTTGATTACTTCTACCAGAGGGATTCCAAAAGGCTGTTTGTATGAGCTGAGCCATGAGGAATGGAGTAATAAAAATTCTAGAAAGATGAAAAACTTATTTATTTCTCATATGGACTGTGCCAGTGCCAAAAACAATCCCTAAAACAACAACGGAGCCTCCCAGTGAAAGTTACCTTGGTGCACAATTGTGACCATTAGAAATTTTCAGAGTTCATTGACGTGCTCTGAGAAGCAAGTAAAGAAAACGAACTTTCTATTAGGACTAAACAAGGCTTCAGCCGACTGTATTTCATCAGATAATTCACTGAGTTTCAATTTCCAGTGGCCTACAGGCTCAGCTCAGTTACGACTTCCCTAGCCTTGACATATACCTGAATAACGGTTATTTGCGTTGCAGTCACAATCATAGATACCTGCTGCCCAACTTCTTAGCTCAAGTACTTTTTAAAGAGATTAGTCTTAGCAGCTGAGAGCTAACGTAAGAGCTGAATGCAAGAGCAGAATGGTTGGTGTAAACTTTGTGAGACAGCACCATCCCCTGACCTAATGGGCCATGTTTATCTCTTATCACAGACAAGCTTGTCATTAAAGCATAGCTTCATTAATGTGTATTGTGCGATGCTGTGGGGACCAGATATGTGTCAGCCAAAAGAAAGGTGGTTGTTTTCTGTTTTCTAGTAACCCCGTACTTTGCCTTTGGACTAGCAATTCATTTGTCTCAAGCCCAAAATCACATCAAAACTTCCCTCTTAAATTGCATGCTATTACTGCATTGAGCTAGTATTACTCTCCATCTTGCAAACAACAGCAATTTTTTCAAGGGATGCGTTACCAAGCAAGTGAAATGGAGATTTATATTTTTTTGGGTATGGACTTTTTTCCATAAGTGTGGCTTTGATTTAACATTGTTCTTAGGAAATGCTTGTTTACCATTGCTCAGAAGGCTTCAATTAAATGCTAAAGGCCATTCAACCGCAACAGACCTCCCTTCTTCCCTCCTGAAGCTCTGGGGGATGAGAAGCACAGCAACAGCAACCTAAAAGTAACAAAGTCAAACACTAAACCACAAAACCTTGTTTAATTGCTCTGTTTTGGAACAGAGCTTGAAGAAAGCAGCTCTTTCATCCTACTCTGCCACAGAATGACCAGAGCTGACAAACAAATGAACAAACAACCCATTAGCTGTCTGATTTATCATCCGCTCTAAAAGTTACTGATTGAGAAAAGGGTCAGTTCTTTTAAACAGGTGAAGAACAGCAAGACCTGTCAGGCTGTCCACATATAAAAGCATTTCACTGTGGAGCTCCTACTATATATTTGTCTTTGAACAGAGCAGCTTGGACTTGATTGCCGGCTTGTCACAGAGCGATCTCTGTGAACTCATTGAAAAGCCAGCCCGGGTATTACATTGCTTAGGGGTAATTTTGACTAGAAACTATTTTTAAAAAAACACATTTCAAGTTTCCTGAAACTATGGTTGCAATTTACACCAGTTAATTTGTAACAATTAGCATTTTACATTTGATGTAATATTTTCAGGAAAAGGGAGAGAACTAGTGTATCTGTGTCGATTTTGTTTTACTTGTTACACAATCAGTTTGAGATACAACCCTCTGTGATGGGGCTTGATTTTATAATCACCCTTGCCTCCTCCAGGAATATATTTCTTCCCTTGGTGCTGTGTGAAATGCAAATGTCAGGAAAGCTGATATGGCACAAATTGCTGTCAAATGCATAAGATGACAATGGTATTTTTTTCTCTGGCGCTCCCATTTTAGCAACCCTATTTGAAGATAAGACAGACAGACAAATCTACATTTTTGAGCTGCTGATGACAGGAAAGCTGCTGTACCAAAATAACTAGAAACCTGAGTCCCCTCTAAAAAGAACAGGTAGAGAACCATCACTGACAGTGCAAACTGTTGCACTACCTCAAATAACCCCGTTCGTTTGCCTCAATGCAATCCTGAGACACCTCTCGGGGGGAGGAAAGAGTAGCTCTGGCTGCACACAGCCCTCTCTGCTTGCATTGGCACCCAGGCACTGCAACACCAGCCTGTGACCATGAACGCGCTTCAGGTTACCAAGTAGCCGCAAAGCTGCAGTTTCCAGGCCCCATATTTACTAACTTGGGCAATGGTTTGTGCACGAAAAGGTTCTGTATCTCACTACTGTTTTTATGCTAAGCATATCACCTTAACTACTCTTTCAAAATGTTTTCAAAGTCAGGCAAAATATGTGTTGTAATACGACAGGAGCAAAGTGTTTTACAGCTGCAAGCAATGCAATGAGCTGTGCAGCAGAAATGCATAGAGCAAAGCTTCAAGATAACTCCTTTTGTGCAGGCTTCAAGCATGGATGGGTCATTGCGGAATAAAACAATTTTCCGGCTCTTATTTAGCGCCTATAGGTTTACAGTGAGCTATGCCCTGGCTGCCATGTGTGCTCACTGATACTGCGGCAGCGCTGCTGAGTGGTGCTACCGGCAGAGCTCCAAGGACAGACTCCAGGTAGCAGAGGTTCATAACACCTCCTCAAAGTTGGTTATGCTTTTTTCCTTTTTATAATAGGTAAATATAGGATATTTGTTAAGTGTCAGCCATATGCCTGACCCTCCTTTAGCCTATGGGGGATCTTGGGGCCTGCTTACTGCTGTCATGCAGGTGGCTGGAGCTGAAATTGTTTTTAGCTCTTACTCTAGAGAAGTAAAACCTCAGAGTTAGCAAGACTTTAAGTGCACATATTTTCTAGGACTTTTCCTAGAGAAAACATTTTCATGAGAAAACATCACCTGTCTTTCAGAGGAAGCTGGCAGCCACCAAGAGATAAGGAAGATGGACAGGGAAAGTGAGAAGAAGAGGACGAGTGCGGAGGGGGCATGACTTGAGAAGCAGAGGACTGGAGAAGGTCGTCCTGAACAACCGGCGCCGAGGAACAGACAACTGCATTTCCAAAGAGCCTTGTCTACATTGCCAGCTAGCACTTCAGACTTTGCCTGTGTGACAGTCATCGTCACAAACTGGCATGAAGGGCAGGAGCTTCAGTCACCAAGGGTCTGTGCTCGGAAAGTGAAGTCTTGCTGTCCTGTGAATGCCCTAATTATACGTACAGAAAGAGCGCATTGAGCAGCGTGCCACGCGTCAGTCAGCAGAAGGGCAGGCCTCTTCCCTCCACTCCCGTCAGACTTTTCTTTTTCTCTGCTCCCGTATAGCTTGAATCTGAAACGGAGGCGCCATTGCTACACCTTGGCTTGCGCTTACACATTATCTCCTCACAAACTCTCACACTCCTCAGGAGAGCTTTTCACTCCTTTAGCTCACAAACCAAGAACAGAAAAGTAATTTGGGTGAGCTAGAAAAGCCCTGATCATCTGGTCATCACTGCAAGCCCACTTTGCTTCATACATGCCACAGGACTTCCTACCAGTCACCTGTGCATAGACTTATTCAACTTAAATGTGCAAAAGTATTTTTTCACCGAGGACAAGGACAGCTGTATTCCAGGACGAGAGATTTCTGGCCCTGGCAACATGGGGCTCCAGTTCCTTTCAACAAAGCTGACGCTTCACAGTTTCAACTAGGTATCGTTTTTGTTCCACTAGGTGATATCCTTCAGCAGCAACTCAAAGAAGCCCTGCTTTGACGTGCTAAACAATACCCACTTCACTGGAAATGCCATATAGCAGATCCTGTTTGCTTTCCTTAAGAAGGCAGGTGTTTCAACAAGCCCCTTTTAACTCTCCTGCTTGCTCTCCCTCGGCTCCAAAGGGGCCGTGAGCGCTGCCGTGGTCTCCTGCCGGTCTTCTCCCTGGGATGAGGTGGTGGCTCAGCTCAACTCGGAGCAGGGCCCCCAAGGGCCTGGATCCTCCAACTCCCATGGGGCAGCCCCACTCCTGCCTGGCGGACTCTGCTTGGCTCCTCCTCGGCAACAGCTGCGGGGACAGTGGGACTTCGGGGCCCACCTACAGCACAAGGAGTGCCCTTGGCCACTAATAGGCAATGGAGTAAGGACATGTGGCCTTTGGAAAAAAATTCAAAGTTATTTCAAGCACGGTAGTTTGGGAAACCACTTTGGGGGAGTTTGGGAGGTGTATTTTAATATCTTAAGCACAGATTGGGTTGATGCGGTGCTGCAGGCACAGAGAGCAGACAGCAAGATGGGGCTCCTCTGGGCTGCCCTGAACCAGCACTGGGGGATGAGAGCGGTGTGGGGAGGTGTGCGCAGCCCTGGACAGCCTCTGGTTCACTGGGTTCTCCAATGCCCAATCCTGCAGCTTTGTACCCAGGGTCCAGCAGAGCAGCCTTGTGCTCGGCTGCACTGCGCTTGCCAGGTGTGAAGGCTACAGAGCAGGAGGCTGCAAAAAGCAAGAGCCCTCCGTGCGTGTACCTCCTCCCGGCCTGCAGCGAGCCTGCCAGTTGCTGACCTCATTGGTTAGTGCCCTTGCCTTGCTCCTAGCTGCATGCATCACAGCACAAAAAAAAAAAAAAAGAGAAAGAGAAAAAGGAAGAAAGAAAGAAAATAAAGAAAAAGGAAAGAAAAAGAAAAAAGAGAAAGAGAGAAAGAAAGAAGAAA